CTCTGCTCCACTTTAGCCTCGGTGCGCTGGAAAAGTTTGACTCTTTGCCAGGGAGGTTTCATTCCAGCTGCACGGAAAGTTTCCTGTTACAAGGCTGGTTCTGCTCCAGAAAGCTGCAGAACCGGTGTCCACGTGGAGTGCGGCGCGTGTGAACGCCTTGTTTGCCCGCCAGCCTGCACGTCAAGCACCCGCTGCTCTGCTGCGCTTGTGGCCAAGACCACTGCGGGCTCATTGAGTGCTCGCTGCGCGGAGCCGATGGAGAGCTCGGCTGGGTGGTGAGTGAATAACCCGTTTGCCCTGCAGGTTGCTATTGCAAAGTAACAGGTTTTCTAACAGCAATAGCATTTGTAGAGCGTACGGAACACGGGGGGCACGGGGCTGTGTTTTCTCCATGGTCTCTGGTGCCTCCCGAGCTCCTGGTGAAGCAGCAGATGAAGGTAATACGCCTGCGCTCGCTTGGAAGGGTTCCTGGCCAAGGCAAGCTGTATTTTTGCGCTAATTAGGAATGGTTTCTGGCCAATGCAAACATTATTGTACCCAACGTCAATAACACAGTCTTCCTAAAATGGCTTTGCAGTTGCTCGGCATGGTATACTCGATTCCCTACGGAGTCGCAGAGATTAATTTTTAATGGTACAAGAACTCGCTGTTTTTACCCAACTTCAGAGTTGGTTCCTAATGGTATGTTTGAATCCTTGGTTTCTGAAGGGGTTCATTTGTAGGACTGGGCTTGTATTATACCTTCAATTTCTTTGATTATCTACCAGCGTTCCCTGAGTTCCTGGGTAGTTAATGCTCACTTGAGTTCCCCGTCAGTCACATTCTGCTGTGTTTCCATTTTGCTCACCCGTGTGATCTCTGTGGATAACAGGCAAGACAGAGCAGCCTGAGATGCTGGGTACCCGAGATGCTGCTCGTGCGTTTCCCGGTGACACAAAGGCGAGCAGGGCTTTCTTGTGCCATATGGAGCCTTCCAGTTTGAGAAAAATGGATGCCTCGTGTTGGAAGGGTTCTGAGCTCAGGGAGGATTGCTGATACCATTCCCCGTTGCCCTTTGCTCCCCCTCTCCATCCCATACCTCTGTGTTTCCCCCCAGCCCGTGTTCCCGCAGGCTGTCCCCCTCCCTGCCCATCGCCGCCTCGTGCTTGGGGCAGTGGCCGTTCCTTCCTGCTGGGAATCGATGTGTGCGATGATTTCTAAGCTGTAACTCTCTCTTCTGTGAGCTGGAACTCGGCATGTTGTGGCAGCAAACTTGTGGTTAGTGTGGCCACGTATTAATGTTTCGGCATCAATTACCGTGGTGCTTTCCTCCAAAGCTGGGTTGCAGTAATATAATAGGTAGACAAATGCTATTAATTACGCCAACATACAGAAATGCATTGATAGAAGGTTGATCGTGCCATCCTGGCTCTAAAAATTTGCTATTACAAGACTCAAAAAAAGTTTCTTAGGTCTTTAGCATTGTAGAGTGTCATTCTTGGAGTCAAAACTTCCCTGTTTTTATTGATGAAGCTGGAAAACATGCAGATAAATAATGAAAGGTTGACTTGGTCCTTAAAACGTGATTTTTAATTTTCTGTTTTCCCCAGATTTGAGGATATTGGATACTGGGTTTACTAACTGCATCCATTGCTTTCCTACTATTGGACATTAACACCAGGTCCTGATGTTGAACCCTCCTTTGGTCTCCACTGTGTATCTGAAGTTTTATGGTAGTTTTATCTTGTCATGCTTTTAGATATCTTGTAAATAAATGCGGAATAAATAGCAAAAATAATGAAAACATCAATAATTTTAAGATAGTAAAGGCAAAAACCTCATTTTTTTGCATCTTACATTGAGGCATACTCATCCTTCTGTATAAAGAATTTTTGCAGAGAAACATTGTCTTCATTCTCTTTATTTCACTGGAAAATAGAAGCTGTGCATCCAGGCTGCTTTATCGCACAGTACATTTTGTGACTACAATGAGATCTTAATTATAGAGATGTCAGTGCAGCACCTGGCGCTCTCTTGTGAAGGGGGCTGGACTGGGCAGCTGGCGCTGTGCTGAGGTCCAACGGGCGCCTGCCATCCTGCTTTGCGTGCCTTACTGGAGACTGGGAACAAACACGCGCTGAACCACGCACATCCAGGTCATGGTATTTATCTTTGTTTGTGATTCATGGTTTGTCACTTGATGCTGGGGAGACTCAAGGAGAGGCACGTCTCTCTCATGGCAAATACCAACGTCCTATGCCCAGCAGTTCTGCTTAGCTGCGAAGCTGCTGTATTGCTAACGAGCTGTCAGAGGGGTCAATAATGAGCGTAGTTGCTTGATGAGGAGCTGACAAAACACCCGTTGGGGCATTTCGACACAACAGATGGTGCTGGGTTGTGGCATGACCAAGTCAGCGTCCTTGCGCTGTGGTGCCACGCTCTCTTGCATTTGTACATTGCAGATGGTTTTAGACTAGCCTAGGCTACATTTCAGCTGGAAGGGACCTGCAATGATCATCTAGTCCAACTGCCTGACCCTTCAGGGCTGACCAAGTTAAAGCATGTTGTTAAGGGCATTGTCCAAGTGCCTCTTAAACACTGATGGGCATGGGGTCATCGATGGAAGATCATGCGTGGTCTTCTTAGACCACCTCTCCAGGAAGCCCTTTGCAATGTTTGACCACCCTCTGCGTAAAGAAATGCTTCCGAAAGCATCCCAGGCTTTCAGAGGTCCCTCTCCCCCTCTCACAGGTTCCTCCAGGTCAACCTCAAGCCAAAGCCATTTTTATACCTAGAGATTGTGACTGTCAGAACTGTTCCACGCCGGAGTCCAAGCAGCGGGTGAGTACGTGTGGTCCTGGGAACAGGCACCAGCCGACACCTCGCGCTCGCTGGGAGCGAGTCTTCCACCGGCGTCGATGACTCAGGCTTGTACCCGTCACCCCCAAATAATCAGCTCTTCTAGCTGCGGGTGAAAGACAGCTTTCTCTTGTCAGCTCGCAGAATGTGGAGTCTCTGGAGCATACGTAATTGATCCAGGCAGGTTCAGGGTTTCTATTTCAGGGATAATCACACGTTCCGTAGTGATGTGTTGTCATTTTTAGAAATCCAGTGTGTTGTGCACAGAAAGCAACACACTGCTACTATCATCTTCCTCAGGTGTTGAGATTTGTTTTAACGGGATTGCTTACTAATTCCTGGAGAAAATAATGAAACTGAAGAAGCCAGCCAGTGCCTGTTCATCTAACGTCACCTGAACGGCAGGTCAGCAGAACGGTGTATGGGATGTGTTGGGAGTGACATCCTTGCTGGTGGGTTCAGGGGTCTGTGAACGTTCGTGTCTGGATTTGTCTCCTGACTGCTGACTCGAGCGTGCTCTGTGGATCGGCTGTAGTCATGGATACATGGAAATTGCAATTTTGGGTTTGCTTCCTCAGTGGCAATGCTTTCTTACACAGTATTCCAAACCTTACAATAAAGAATAGCCAAAAGCTGTCCTCCTGGAGCGATGGCAGATCACGAGCACTTGGTTTAATTGCCAAGAAAGCGCTGTGCTGGGAAGGGGCTCACGGTGGCTGGGTTTCCTCTTTGAGCAGTTCCTAGTGACAGAAGTTCAATGAATGGACTTGCTTGCATGGGAAAAAAATGGACCCGTTGCCCCGAATGCTTCAGCATTGCATGTGCTAAGGTTTTGGATTTCAGAAGGAATGTTTTTGAAGAAGATGTAGCCGTGGCTGCACATTGCTCACTGTGGTCTCTCTAACAGGGGTGGTGGTGGGAAAAACCTCCGTAAAATGCTGCCGGGGTGCAGACTGCTCCTTCAGGGCTGGGTTTGTTAGACGGGAGGGAGCAGGCGACCGGTTTGCAGCTCCCGCAGCATCTCGGACGAGCTGGCCCCCAGCCACAGGCGTTACCTGTGTCCTTGCAACAGCTTGTGGGTTCCCCACCCAAGACCCGTCCAGCCCTGCTAAAATAAAGAGGCTTGTCCACAGAGAAGGGGAGTGATGAGGAGATGGCAAACCACCCGTGTGGCTGAGCCTTTCCTCCAGCAGCACAGGGGCCCCTCAGAGCTGGTTTCCTCGTGCGGTCTTTCATGGAGTGCCCTGGAGCATCCGGGCAGGAGATGGGGATCTGCTGTGGACTGGGAGAGCAGGGGGTGCGTGGTGCGAGCTGGCCCAGACTCTGTTTTCAATTCCATTTGGCAAAGTTTTCCGAGTTCTCCTGCAGAAAATGTCCCGCAAAAGTGACAATAACAATATTTTGGATATCAGCCTAGCACAAAAGGGTAATAGGAGCTCCACGGGCATGCGTGGGCTTTTGATTCATCCTCGGAGATGACAGATGTGCATTTATTTAAGATCTGGGTGTGGGACTCGGCGTATTTATAGGGAGATCTTTGCTCCCACTCTTCCTGTGTGGTGCTGGTCTCCACCGTCAGTCAAATGGGTTCAGTGCTCTCTGCTGACCACCTCGTGCATCAGCCACGCTGCAGACCCCCAAGCCCGCACCAAGCATTTCTCTTTGTCAGAGCTTTTGGGGAGGAAGCGCCGGGGGTCCCTGTGCACGGTCAGGGGCTGCCGGGGGGAGGAGAGCATGGTGTAAGGAGGCAATTAGTAAAGTGGGAGCAATGCTGCGTCCTTTACATGGGCTTTTGTGACAGTATGGATTGATTTGTGTGTCTGTGAGGCACTCCAGCGCTGTGGCAGTGGGGATTATCTCATTATTGGTATGAACAGATCTCTCTTTTTATTTATCTAAGACTGATTCTGGATTAGATCATAGCAGTAGTTTAGTACAAATCATTTTCTTGCAGTGACTGCCGATCAGGGCAGTAGCTGATGGCTGCACTGCCCTTTCTTGTCATTACTCCTTGCTGTGGGTCTGGAAAAAAAAAACCAGATCTGGTGCAGAGGGGTTTGCACATGAAGAGGGTGGAAGGCAGTCCCCGTCCTCCAGATGTTGTCCTTTGGGAAGCACAAGCCCCAGACCGCCGGGCTGCTGGATGTGCGCAGCAGTGGCGTATGGCGAGCGGCGGTGAGACGCCTCCGGTATCGACACAGGGCGAGCTGTATTTTAACTTGTGCTAAACCACGTGCTTAGTGACCGAATTCAACCGGTTTGCTGGCTACTGCAAGCAGGTGAAAAGAGACTGTTGAAATAAACCCAACTCCTGTCCTGCGTCGTCCCAGGAGGCGGTGGCTCTCAATAAAAGCTTGGCCAAAGCTCTTTAGTTGTCTCCGTGTCTTTTTTTTTTAGATATAAGATCTTTGCAGTAAAGCATTTACAAACTTAAATTCTTTTTTCTTTGCCTTGTAGTGAACTTTGACCACTTCCAGATTCTCCGGGCGATCGGGAAGGGAAGCTTTGGCAAGGTAGGCTGGAACGCTCCCTCTTGGCTTTGCTTGTGCGTTTTATGGGGTGCCTGCTGTTACATACTTATCGTTTATTGAAACAGAAAACAGTGCTGAAATAGGCTAATTTTATTGCCAGGTGATGGCCACTAAGTAAAAACAGGAAAAATGTGTTCAGCAAAATACCTTGCTGTCATTCGGCATTGCTGTAATTCTCGGCATCGCGGTGAAACGGGTGTATTTTAACTGCCAGCACAACGGTGACCGTTTCATGGCAAATATTCATTATGTTTTCTGTTTCCTGGGAGGGTTTGGAGGTTGTGGGGGGTAACCGTGAGTCAGGAGGGTGTTGGAAGGTGTTCAGGGTGAGTGGCTGGGCTGGCACGATGTGGTCAAGGGGGCTCTCTGAAGCCCTGGGCTGTTTTCCCACTCAGCAGTGAGTTATGCTGAAGGATTTTTGTTGTTTATTTTTAACAAGTGTTTTTTTGCCAAGCGTGTGGGAGAAGGTGGGAGGTGATGATCAAAAAGCTGGATAGCTCTGGAGATCAGTTGCTGGTTCTTTCCTGGTTCTGTTCCTTTGTGTGTAGAAAACGGTTTGCTGCTCCTGTCGCGGCGTTTTGCAGCATCGGTTTGTGCTGCAGGCACGGCGTTCCTGCATGCACAGGCATCCTTGCATGCGCTCGAGACCTCATCGCGTTGGTGCTGTTCTGTATTTATTTTGTCACCCACGTTTCACCCCGTCCCAGCAGTGGCTGTGCCCCTCTGTTTGGCTGAGGTGTCTGCACCCCACGGACAGGAGCTGTAGGAGCGATAACCCTGAAATTTCTCAGGAGATCTGAGACCCACTTGGCCAGAAGAGCCCAAATTTTTACGAATTACTGAAAATCTCTTTTTAAATATTTAAAATGTGTTTAGTAGTGTCAATCTTGAGAAACATCAGCAGTGCAAAATCCACCCGCAGTGGGTAGGGTCCAGCTCTTCTTGGCATCAGGAGAGTGGCCACTGTCAGTCACGGTGCGGTCATTAGCATTTCCTGCTAACGAACACGGTCCGTCGCAGCCTCGGTGAGCTGATGCACGCTGGGGTGTCTGTTGCACTGTTCTGGTTTTTCCAGGCACATCTACCCACGTGAATTCCCACCTGGCTTCGGTGTAAGCCCGCATGGGATCAGGGCTGATGAAAATTGGGTTTAAATAGTCATCCATGTTTGCAGCCATGTCTCTTGAGCAAGAAGAGGTGGAAGCTGGCAGCAGAGCTATGGCAGATTTCGGAGGTTTTATTAGACAATGGAGAAGGATTAAATGCAGGCTCAGGTCCTTCCTTAGGGCAGCGCTGCAAAGGTGAAGCAAACAGCAGAGGAAAGGCTCCCCAGATGCTCCTGGTGAGAACGGCAACTCTCAGGGTCTTGTGACTCCTGCTCATCATCAATGACCCAAACCTGACTCAAAATCCTACTGAAAAAGAGCAGCTAACTTTTTTCAAGCTCATCTGAGGAGGCTGATACTTCCCAGAAAAAAGAGGTTTTACTCTGCTGAGCAGCAGCACTTGGTGCTGGAAAATTAATTCTGCTCAGAACATGAAAAAAAATATTCCTGTCCCAGGGCAGGACCTTTTTGGCTTTGAAGAGAGCTGCTCCTCGTGGCTGCTTCCTTTTCTGTTTATGTTAAGGAAAGGTTAAGTCTTGCACGTAGCAGTCTATCAGGCATCAGCATTGTATATACACTTTCCACAAAATGCCGAAATGATTCATCTGTCATCTTTCTGGATAATTATGTCAATATGCTAAATTTCCTCTGATACCGAGAGAAGCTTTTTACATTCACAAAGTCATTTACAGCTCTCATTTAATTACAGAAAATGTGGAACTACCTACCTGAAAACTCATGTTTAAATTTACGGGTAATTGAGTTGCTTTGGTTGGCTCAAGCACCATCTGCCCGCATTCGGGAGGGTGCTGAGGAGCCAGTGTCCCGTCCATCCCAAAGCGAGGGTGCGGACCCTCGGTGTGGCATCGCGGTGACCTGGGAGGCAGCCGCCCGCCGGGTAGCTCTGGGCAAGGCGTGGGCTTGCCTCTCATTTCGTGCCCCTCTCAGGACAGGCTGTGTGGTCCTGGGTGCAGAATGAGGGAAACTGGAACTCAGGAAGGGCTTTAGAAGAGCTGGAGAGCCCCGGAGCCGCGGCTCTGGTATACCTGCAAAACCCAGCCAGTTTCTGTTAGCCATCTTTAAGGTACCATTGACCAAATGGAGGCGATGCTCAGTTCCATGTTCACTCAAATTAGCACATGGGTAATATTTTCCATGCGTATTAGGGATAATATGACTTGTTTTTCACTGTTTCAGCAGG